TTAAAGTGTGAGTAGGGACAAACCCGAGCGTTGCGAGAGTGAGTCCCTAGTTTGTAAAATACAATTAACGGTTGACAGTTTACGTTTATAAATTTCTTTAGAAAAATAAATTATTAATTTATTACTGCTAGCTTTTACTCTTGTGGAAGAGGGGTAAAAAATGCTGACTAGACTTTATTCAAATAACAATGGTAACAAATGCACACAGCCCTAACTCTTGAACTAGAAAGCTGTGTTTCAGGCGCTAGTAGGTATCTTTCCATATCAGACGTAGGTACATACATATTAAATGCTCATACACACATAAAATTACACGTTATAATAACATAAATTAATGTAAACAAAAAAAAAAACTTAAAAATACATATAAATGCAATACGAAGAATGAAGTGTAAGATTTATTATCATTTTATTTTATTTAGATTCCTAATGATATGATTTCTTACCATTTTAGGTTTTTTGCATATTTATTGTCCCTCGACGCAAAAACAGGGGTGTTATAAGTTTGACGTGTGATCTCTGTTTTTTCTGTGGAATCATAGCGCCCAAACGGGTGAACTGATTTTATTTTAGTTTTCTTTGAAAGTTGACTTGTCGAGAATGGTTTTAGCTGTAAATCAAGAAAATCCGTTCAGCCGTTTTAAACAGACTATCAGCTTTTATCTAGATCGTTAAAATGGGATATGAGCAACTTCCACAGATCTAATTCATTCGAAACTTGGTATATACCGTTGCTTCAATGATATTGTAACGATATGGTATCTTTGACCTGATGTTGCAGCATTACTTAGAATCTGCAAAGTACTTTTTAATCAAATACTGCAGATATATTTGGGCTCAACGAAATCGCCTCAATAAATAGGTTATTGCGTAGAGGTTTTATTTTAAATTTTTAATTAAATAATTATAATTTAATTGTTGTATAAATGTGTATATTTACGATATTGTGTATTATTATTATGTCAATATCATACTATAATGCATAGATTTTGTTAAATGTATCGTTATTATCCTATGTTAGTGCTACAAATAGTGGGCTCTTGCCAAACCAATGAAACTGAAGACGTACGGAAACCGCAGACCGAAATTATTATCTTTATGTAATATAAGGTATAGGCAAGATTTTAGGTTAGATAAGTCGTAATAGTAATTTCAAGGGTCAAGACGTATTAAAAGAGATCTATATAAATATATTGGCAGATTTCCGTTTCCTTCTAAAAGCTTTTACTTATAAATCTCTATTTAGTACCGATGTTTCTATTCCTTTTCAAATACTTTAATGTACATAATATATGTAAGTAATGTACGGAGTGTGTAAGTAATGAAGCGCTTTAGCTTGATAATAAACTAGCATTTCCCGCGGCTCCGCCGGCGTTCAGATGATCAAAAACCAAATTCTTAGGTTTGACATGTTAGTATACTCTTACATTGCAGTTTTTGTATTTCTTCTCAAAAATAAGATATATTCCCGTAGTAAAAAGTCTCCTATATGTTCACCCGGATAACCAGCTATCACCATACAAAATTTTATCCAAATCCTTCCGGTGGTTTTTCTGTGATGCGGTAACAGACAGACAGACAGACAAAAATTCTAAAAACGATTGATTTGGCCTCTGTATCGATAATGTTTATTTCAATAAGATTTTCCAAAAAATATTTAATGTACAGATTCGGCTTAGTTACAATTTTATTATATGTTTAGATAGTGAAAAAAATCGTTTGAGATAGTACACAATAAACGTAATTACAAGGACGAATACGTATTTATGTCCATAACAGCGGTCGTACATTTCAGTTCCATTCAAAGTGTTTATTGCGGTAAAGAATTTTTATATGTCTATATATGTATTTATTTATATCTTATATAAAACACTTATATGATATACTTTCAGCTTAACAGCCTCGGTGGTGTAATGGCTAGCGTGTACGGCTGCACACCCGTAGGTCCTGGGTTCGAGTCCCGGGTCAGGCCAAGTTTAGTTATTGAGTCTTTCTGTATATTAAGCCTCAGTAACAGCCCGGAGTTGGGAAGTTGGCGGTGTTTCACCCCCGTGCCTCGGTGAGCACGTACAGCCGTCGGTCCTCTCACTGGTCGTGTCGAGTGTTCGTCCCACCAGAGTATGAGAGTGACAGGAATAGAGAGTGCACTTGTGTTTGCGCGTACACTTGTATACTATAATATCTAATGCGCACTTGGCTAATCTCAATGAGATTGGCCGCCGTGGCCAAAATCGGTCAGGAGAACATCATCACCATCATGATATACTTATATTGCTATTATTGTGTAATATACATATATACTGTACCTGTAACTTATACTTACATATAATGAACAAACCTATATATCTATCCGTATGTTACATTTTATTTAATAACTAAATTATATCATGCTTTATTACATTTCTAAAATAATATAAGATGCTCAAAATACTAATAATAATAATAATAATTGCTCGTACTAAGAGTAACCAAACCTTACTTCCCGCCCGCTCTAAAGCACATTCAAAATATCTACATATCTAATTTTAGGTACTAATACTATAAGTATTGTTGGGATAAAAAAATACTACCCTATTGTATTATCCTAAACGATTGCGGCTACGGCGGCCAATATTACTGAGACTAGCCTAGGCTAGAGGATATTATAGTACACAAGTGCACTCTCTATTCCTTTCACCTTCAAATTCCGTTGGAACGAAAATTCGACACCACCAATGAGAGATCAGGCGTAGGACCCACGGCTTTACTTGCTCTCCGAACCATTGTGGTGAACCACCACCATACGCAATTAATTTACGTAGGGGATTTTTTAAATTTTTAATTTATTACTATTTCCCTTCATTCTGTCAGTTCAGTTCAAAAGCTGTTTAAGTAAAGCGGCGTAAAAGTAGCCTAAGTCTAGGGTATAATCGATTTCAAATTTCACTCATATTTGTAAATTGCTAATAAAAAAAAACAAAACTCACCAACTTTCATAATTTATAATGTTAATGTTTCCATGTTATAAAAATAGTATACTAATTATTTTTTTAACCGACTTCCAATTCCAAAAAGGAGGAAGTTCTCAATTCGTCGGAATCTTTTTTTACGTATGTTCACCGATTACTCGAAGACACCTGAACCGATTTGGAATATTTTTTTGTTTGAAAGGATATACTTCCCAGGTGGTCCCATATAATATTTATCGAAATTGGGCGAGCGGTTTTTAAAAAATCAACAATAAATATTTTTTTAAATAAATTGTTTAATCGAATTAAATTATTAAATAATTTCCTCCTACAAATTACCTGCTTATTACATCTACACTAAAAATGGAAAAATTAAAACTTTTTAACAAAAATATAAAAACCGTCTTTCAGGCACTAAAATGTAAAAAATAACTAAAACACTAAAATGTAAATAGTTTTGATTTAGAATAGATACCTAATCAGATATTTTCGAAGTCGGTTTTTATTTTATTTTTTTAAATAAATTTAATAATGATATATAACATACCTAAATATAAAACATCTCAAGTATTATAAATCAACCAGTTAGCATAAAAGTAAATTATACTATTCTGGTAACGTCTATTGCCAAAATCCAATTTCGTCTGTTATTCAGCTATGAACGTGATCGAAATGCTTTCATTTGATTAGTTAAATTGTTTTGTATAAAGAAACCATGTTTATTTATTTTTAAGGTAACATACATATTTTTTTTATTTTGTGTGCTTAAGAAAATATCTGTCGAAAGATGTAAAAAGTCATTTGCTATTTTAATTGCAAGTCCTTAAAAAACTACAAAAGAATTAATTTTCTTTTGATTAAGAAAAGCAAACAGTAACAGATAACAGTTAAGTAAGTAAAACAGAAACAAATCTATCCCACGGGAACCGTTCATTTTTCCGAGATTAGATTCCGAGAAGCCTATGTGCTATTTCAGACTATAATATATCTCTGTGCCAAATTTCATCCAGATCCGTTCAGCCGTTCTGAATGATTGAGTAACAAACATCCAAACATCTAAACTTTCACTTTTATAATATTAGTAAGATTATTTTTAGTTTGTATAAATATTTTTTTCTAGCTTTAATTTTATCGACCTTGACTCATTTGAAATTACAACTTTGAACTTACTCTTATCTCAAAATAATTTATTCGATAAGTTTCATTTCGACACCAGACAAGTATATTTTCACCAGACGTTGCATTTTATATCTACAAAATATTGCACCGAAACTACGTCTTTGTTTCCAATGAAACTTTTAATCGCACTAAAAATATTTTAAAAAATAACCAAAATGGTAATTTAAATGAACTTATCTTTTTGCCTTATACACAGCCACAGCTTCTTCCTTGCAAGGCTCTAAGGACTGAACATTGTAATTCTGCTAGTGTCACTCCTTAGATTTTTTACCGGATTTATTATAAGGAATAATGAATAGTTGAGCTTTAAAGCCTCTCAAAGTCTTTTTCTACCTGCCACTTTTCTTTCCCTATTTCCCATTAATTTACTTACTAATCTTATAGTTCCCCAAAACTCTCCAAACTTCATTCATTCAAAGTTAACAAAAATAGGTATTATTTTATTATTAGTAAGTACAGATAAAATGAATAAAAACTGTTATCGTGCCGTAATACGAAGTAAATGGAATCTTTCAGTCCGCATTTCCCACCTCTCCAGCTTTCAGTTGCCGCGGAAAATTCCTATCAGAAGGACGTTTGCGATTAGCGGGAAACTTGTTCGAAATACGAAATTTTATGAACTTTGGATATTTTTTTAAAAACAAAAGCACTGGCATCAATTTTTAATTATAATTATCTATTATTATAGATTTGTAATTTTTTGTGTTTATTATATAGTTTATTAAATATTGTTTTAATTTTGATAAATTATAATTAAGCGCGGAGTATAACTTATAATTTAGTAAATAATATTAATGAATAATGATAAAAGTATGAAAATTTTCATAATAACAGATTAAAAATTATTTTGTGATTAAATAAAAAAAACGAACCATGGAATCTCATTCATTTCTACGCGAAAATGAAACATATGATGACTTTTATAATCGGTGTAATAATTTAACAAACTTTGACTGTAGCGAGGAAGAAATGTTATGGTGGTTGATGGGTTCTCGTAGACTGCCATTAAATGAAATAATACCTCTTAGTGTAGTTCTCGTAGTTATATTTTTGACTGGAGTGATAGGCAACGTGTGTGTATGTGTCGTGATTGTGCGAAATCCGGGCCTACACACAGCTACTAATTATTATTTATTCAGTTTGGCTATAAGCGATTTGCTGCTGCTTTTGTTTGGTAAGTACTTTTAATATAATTAGATAAATGCTGATGAATTATAATATAGTATTTATTTCTAAAGCAGTAAATTAATTTGCGTCGGTGAGTTTGTCTCAGAAAGCTTAATATTTACCTATAGTAAAAAGAATAATAAAAGAACCACTTCGCATTCCTCTATACCATTCGTAAGCTAAAGCATTAATGATTATTAAAAATGACTTGATACCTGTCTTTAGATAAATCTTTCATTCATACATATACCTAATAAAATTCTAGAATCGAATCTGAATATTAAAATATATTTTTTGGAAAATCTAATTGAAATAGTCATTATTATCGATACAGAGACCGAATCTATAGTTTTTAGAATTTTTGTCAGTCTGTGATGGCATCACCTGAAAACCACTGGACAGATTTTGATAAAATTTGGTACGACGATAGCTGGTTATCCGGGTCAACATATAGGATACTTTTTACTGCGGGAAAATATCTCATCTCTGAAAAATCTATAGTAAACGATAAAACGTAACTAGGGATGATCTCGAGCGGAGCGAGGGTGAGTCGGTATTTAAACATATAGTAGAGCCATAATAAGGTTGAGTCATATCGCTCTATAAGTTCAAAGGTATCTTTCATGAGAGGGAATTAAGACTTTGTATTCACCTTCGTTTGTAGTTTTTTTTATCCAATTTATATATATTTTTTTCAGTCAGGGGCTTCAATTAATTAATGCCCTTTCATCCCTTTAATCATTAACATATCAAAGAAAATCGCCACAAGAATTATCGCTTTGATATCATTAGTCCAAAAATGGCTTTTTGAGCTCTATATTTTCAAGATTCTTATAATTTCTTCACAGAAAAATATATTTGTAAGAATAAATTCATATTTTTATATATTAATATCGTATACAAATTTCAAGACTTGTAGGTATACGTCTCCCACTTTCTTCTTCAGCTTACCTTTCACTTTTTCACTTTACTTTTCTTAGGAAGTCATTGCAAACTTAGCAATTGCCGTATAATTAGAAAAAGATATATTTTTACTTCTCTCAACAATAAAATTAATACATAAAACTATTACCAACCAATACTTAGGAATGAACTGCCTGTACAAATATAACAATAAATACATATTTATAATAAATAGTATAGTAAGTTCTGAATATATTTATATATATATATATATATATATATATATATATATATATATATATATATTTCATACATTTTATTCTCGACACGTGTGCGAAAATAGGACGTATGTTTACAAAAATATTAATGATTTTCGTAAGATATGTGACGTACGCAACATTTGTCTTCTAAGTAGTTTCTTAGACTATACTCATAGAAAAAAAGTATTTTTCTACTGACAATGAAAGCGTTTTTACAGGATCCTAAAAGATGCTTAAAGAGCTTCAACATTTTAAAAGTAAAATAATGTAATCTACATAATATTTCGTACAATTCAAAAATAAAATATTTATTTATGTATGCTATTGATGGGTGGAAGAGAAGCAATATATGTACATAATACATATGTATACCTATGCTGGCGGAAGAAACACACCGATATATATAAATATAAATGTAAATATTGCCAACAATAACAAAAAAATCGGATATGATTACTTGCAAATTACATATTGAATTGAACAAATAAATTACTTATATGATGTTGAGTACTTCGTTCTCGAACTCTGCTATTATTTACTTAAGTTACATTAATCTAAAAAGATAAACGATTTATATATTTGTTATTTTGAATGTAGGAAATTATAAAAAAAATTAATAATCATCTTAAAATATAGTCAAATTTTTCGCATTTATCGATTGGTCGATTTTTAATCACAAACTTTATTGCCCTTGAATTCTTGTACGCGCTGCAAGTTCTCCAAGACCACTCTCCACAAGCGCGCCAAGACCCGACAAGGCATCACAAATTTAAATACAAATACATAATATGTGGAGGTGACCTTTAAAAAGAGCTGATGCGGAGAGGGCGTTTTACGTGACTTATATACATAGGTTTTCAAGCATTTGTGGCCGATCGTGTCGGTTTTTATGCACAAATCAAAGAGCGGCAAGTGCTTGTGATGCATCCACACCTTTGTGCGTTTTTAGAGATTTGAAGTTTGTGGCAAATAGCAAGTGTGTGGACCCGGCGTGAGAGATTCATTTTAAATCTATACATATAATAAAATTGTAAGTAAGCCAAATCTGTACATGTTATCAGGGTCAACATATAGGATACTTTTTACCGCGGGAAAATGTCTCATTTCTGAGAAAAAATAGAAAAACTGTGATGTAAGAGTATACTAATATGTAAAACATAAAAATTTGGTTTTTGGTCATCTGAATGCGGGCAGAGCCCGCGGCCATGCTAGTACAACTATAAATTACAGATAGACATTTTTTTATAAAGTAAGAAAGAAACAATCCTAGTTCATAATATAATAACTTACATTAGAATTTCTCACATTTGTCATTAACTTAGATCGTAATTTCTCATTTTAATTAGATTGCTTTAAAGTTCATTGTTTCTCGAAAACTAAGTTATAATGTTCTAACACTAGTGACTTCACTCGGTTTCGTGTGTATATTTTTGTTTAATTTAATATTTTCCGTAAACACTGGCTTAAACAAAAAGTAGATGTGAAGTCCGTGTTAAATGTAAGTATTAATTAACTTCATTTAATTGTAACACATTATTCTTGTAGGGTACTGGGTAGCCAAATATTATTTATGTATCGGAAAAGTATTCAATAAACATTAAGGAACACTAAATTTTATTTTAAACCATTTACAAAATGATTTGCACTGTATGTATATTTTTTCAATATGAAACTAAAGTTTACGTGGGTTGGTACGACGATGAAAGTTTACCATGTCTTTATTCGGTTTATTCTCTCCATCTCCACTGAATTTAACATAAATGCGATGCGACAAAGCAACGTAAAGAAGTGACAAGCATGAACCATATAAGCACTAAGCCCGCCCCACCTCTTTATAAATAAATTTGATTAATATGATTAATATAATAAATAAATTTGATTTTACAATAGGAGTCAAATGAATTTCGTCAACTCAAATTAATCAATTCTTAGTTGAAGAGAGCTTCATATTTTACTATTAAAATCTGTCAAAGACATCTATTACGATTATGATTTTATTTCGAGTTTATTTTTTCCATTCAATATCAAGCACAACGCCCATACTTGGTATCGGTTTTTGTCATGCCTCAAAATTAAATAATATTTTAATTAGTTTCATGTGGTCATCCGACAGTGTGTTTTTAAAAAAAGGATTTAAGTTAAGGATAGACTTATTCCATGTCCTCGACCACTAGAATGGATAGATTTTTTTTTTGATAGGATTCTCCGAAACTAAACAATACTTCATTTATGTGACAGTACCTGGGCCACCGAGCCTCACTCGGAGTTTTTGGTCAAAAGTACAATTTTACTTATCAAAAAAACTAAAAACTTCAATAAGTACAAAAAAAACAAAACTACATTATAATTTTTTATCCGACCGGGATTCGAACCCGGACGGACACTGAAGACTGTCAATATTGTGCCTTGGCCGCTTGACTATGATGCTTATGTCCGAGCGTGTGAAATTATCGACAATATTTTGCGTGGAATAATGCGAAAGAAAACCGCATGAAAATTCGAAAACACGCGTTTTCCCAGGCATAAGACTAATCTAGATCGATTTATCGCCCCCGAAACCCCGCTGTGTACTAAATGCATGAAAATCGTGTTATACAAGAATTGCTCGTTTAAAGATATAAGATGTACAATATACATACATATTGCCTATTTTTCGTTTTATGTTACATACACTAAACAGTAACGATATTTTTTTATTGTAATACTTAATATCGATTACGACGAAGCCTATTTTACAGTTGATTGGTAGTAAAGTTTTAGTACTAAGGTCACCGACATAGCCTGCAGAATATCCAAGCTCAAGTGGCACTGAGCGGGGCACAACGCGCGCAGAACGCACGGTCGTCTGAGACGAAAAGTTCTCGAATGGCGGCCACGTACCGGAAGGCGAAGCGTGTTCAGGCCTCCCACAAAGCGGACCGACGACTTGGTCAAAGTCGCTGGAGCCCACTGGATGCGGATGGCACAAGATCGGTTGTCGTAGAAATCTTTAGGGGAGGCCTATGTCCAACAGTGGACGTGTTTGGACTGAGAAGAAGAAGAAGGTTTTAGTAGAGAACCGCCTACCGCCCACTTACCACCCAAATTTAAATTATATGAAATGTGTATAAAGAAACTTGAAAATATTTGGGCAATAATACATTGTAAAAGGAATAAAAATTTATTTATTTCATTTTAGATAGTAATATAAATATAAGTAATACCTAACTTAACTTAATTTGAACTTCTGAGATCTGAGAGAATCAGATTCTGAGATCAATGTATTTTAATATTTTATATTATCTACTAAAGGCGTCTTAGGGTGGATAAGATTTTCAACTAAATAATTGTTATTTATGCTTTTATAAGAAGCAAAATTTGGTTATTTGTATGTATGTAGGAAATAATAATAGGAATAGTTTTCTAGCGACAAGCGTTATCAATTGGCGTGATTTTTTGTGTGGAGAGAGTTGGAGGGCTGGAAAGTGACATGACTACTTTTTACCGCGCGAGATTATCTAATTCCCACGGGAAAACACGTTATAATACAATCCAACAAAAAATATTTATGATGAATTACTTGAAACTTGGTATTAATGCTCGTCAATAAAATTAAATAAATACGTGTTTTAGTATTTTTCGAAATTCATCCTATAAGGGGGTAAAATAGGAGATGAAAGTTTGTAAGAAACTACCTTTTTAGATATTGTTTTGTAGTTTTAGCGCGAGCGAAGCCGTGGGTTCTGCTAGTATATATAGGTATAGATATCGAAGTTGACTGTTAGTTGTTTGATAAATTAGTATCGCTATGAAATTCAAATAATTCAAATATTTTTGTTACGTTGATTTTAATGGTCAAGTTAAC